GTGGAGTGTGAATGGTTTTCATGAATGCCGCTTAAAGGAGCCCACCACACTACATCGAAATAAGCGCGGTCTATTTGACAACAATTTCAATATTTCAATAACTTGCATATCTGAACCCAAATAAAATACTTCCTAGCCATTACACGTTTGTATATATATACATAAAAATTGCCTTTGTGCTTACACTTCCTTCAACGAGAGCATTGATCACATTTCCAAGAGTTGAAAGGGATTTATTGATCATTTTTGCCTCATCTAATGTCGATCCTTCAGCTCCTGTTTTCGACACTTTCTCGCTGCCTGCTAAGTCTACCAGGTATAATTTTCCAGTGAGTTGTTGACCAGTTTCCTGATTTGTTTGATGAATATTCATTATAAAAATTGAATGGCTCCGAGAACTGTGCTCATTCATATCTGTAAAATATTATTAAAAAGTCCTACAAGATTGGCTATCAAATAGTAATTGAGGCTAGAATCGTCATGTTATTCACGGCTAATAAATAAGTTAGTAAAATGCGCACTTACGCTTCGCTTCAAAATAATACTAATGAGGTGATGTAATATTTAGTTAAGTTGGTTTTTAAAAAGGAAGAGAAACTGGGTTTCGATGAATCTCCTGAGGTAACATTGTTGGAGTTACTTTCTTTTCTCGTATGAAAGTGCATGAAGAAGAGATTCGTAGGTCAATCTCACCAGAAGAGGACAGCCGAATCCCGTTGTACTGAAGCTATTTGGCTTTTATACGACGTTCACCTTGACGCAGTCAACGAGGCCTCCTTCCTCGTTTCTGGTGAAAACGCGTTGAACTTTCGTCCATCATATGATGGACATCCTCAGGGCTGGGTCTCATTCCTGTAAAATTTTCACGTTAACACTAGGGCAAGAAGAATATCCGGCTCTATCTTACCTCTTATATAGACTCAATTGATCAAAAGAAAATTAAATTCCTATATAGATATAGAGTGGTTTGGCTACTTAGCTTTTCGTAAGTTAGTAGGGTTTCGAGACTACCAGTAAATCAGTGTAATTAGATGTATTCACCATATTTCGTCTAAGGTGATGAATGACTGGTAGTAGAATTTTCCCACAATGATATGAG